AGATGTTGCAGTTGAGCCTTGTTGTGCTGGAATTGTATTTTGTTGAGCACGCCGTTCACAAGCGCTTGGAGAGCTTCCCAATATCTAACAAACACAATTATTGAATTTAATTAATAAGGAAAAATAACACAAACATATTAAATTAAAAGGAAGCTACAATCAGGAAAAAACGCCTACTTACTTGGCAGTGTCCTCGGGTTTTAAAATGTCAATAAATTGTATCCATATATCTAAGCAGTTAACAAAAATAGTACAAGTGGGAACCTGAAAGTGAGAAACTAATATTAATATAAGATATTAAGTCTTATATAATACAATGGAAAAAAACATAGTTTGTACAACAATTGGTACCTGGAATGTATACTGGAATAAGTAAGACAAAAATTCAATAGCATCAAACTCGGGCTCAGCCTCCAGCCTCTTGAAGTGTAATGAGACAAAAAGCTTCAGGAATTCCGCTAATTTGTTTAAATAGCTGAAAGATAAACACTAATGCAATGCAACATAACGAAAAAACATAATTATTTAAAATATCCATTTCACTAGTAACTCTCTTGCTTTACAATGGTTTAAATCATACTATAAGGCCAGTAGCGCTCAAAATCAGCACTGTCATACAACTGGCATAATATAAACACTACTTGACGCCAGTAAGCCATAACAATCCATACCAGGCTGTAGACCATCTATAGCCGCACTGTACTTGCATAATGTACATACTCATGATGCGCCTGGTATAGTGAGTGATGGGAGGCGTGCGTCAGATGTCGCAGCAGCCGCAGTGAGCAGTGGTGCAGACGCAGCGCGGTCGCCGCGGAGGATGGCGGCGCATACCGTCGGTACAGCAGTTCACACACCCCGCCTAGACCCGCCAGCGCTGCCTCTCCACTCTAACATACAAGGTACAGTCAGCTGTATAAATATGTATACATCTACAAAGGTTCATAAACTTATTCACATATTTATGCAGCTGCCTGTACATGTTACCCTTACTATCTGTTATCGTGACTGTGCTGATCTAAACAGCTCTACAAAAAAGAAAGTCAGACCACTCATTTTCTTCAAGAAAATACAAATTACAATTGCACTATAAAATATGAAGTAAAATATTTCGAAACTTGTTTAAAAATGTGATACTGTTGTTTATTGAGAATAATTGAATAACGTTATTGCTCACTAAAGGAAAGGAATAGGATTATAATTCACTAAATTAAAAAACACAGAAGTATTTTAAAAATTACCCACTTACTTGGGTCTGTGTTGCGATACTGCCCCAATAAAACACTGTTGTAACCAGTGAAGCTGGTACGTGAGACGATAGCGGCAGCCACGAGAATAAATGTTGTAATGTTGTCAAACATTTTACAACTACTTCCATATTTAGAGCTCTGAAAAAATTAATTTGTAAATTTGTAAACTATTTTTTTTTGGCTATTTACATATTTTTATATTAACAATTAAAAAATAAAAAAGATAATACAATTATTTTCCTAGAAAAAAGAAATACATACTTGTCAGAAGCACATACATCATGTGCATTAGCCAATAAATCAGGCAATGCAGATGTTTGTGGAAAACCACTGGTGGGTGATGGTGGAGGATTTGACTGGCCTTCCTTTTGCGCATTCTTTTCCAGTATATCTAAAAAATACATAAAGTTTTGTATGTCTAAAAAATAAAAACTACTCTAACATAAATGTCAAAAGGGTACTGACAGACAGACGGATGGACAATAAAGTGATCCTATACAGGTTCCATATTTTTCCTTTTGAGGTATGGGACTCTAAAAATGAGAAATTAAATTTACCGCTAAGAGCTGATAGCATTTGTGGCATTCCCTTAAGCATTAGTCGCTCTAATTGCGTACGACGGTTTGAGGGCAACAGCACACCAGTGTCACGTGCCGCGCCTAGCTCCTCACTCGCTGTTTGCGCCAGGATTAAACCCAGCAGGCAACGGTGACCATCACTTCTTAACAGCTGCAAATATAAGAATTTGTATTTAAAAACTCGAAGAATAATGTTATTTTACCAACAAATAATGTTATACTACTAACTAAACTACCCTTTAACAACAGATGAATGGCACTATACCAGTGAAATTGCTAGTTTTTATAATACACAGTGCCGACCCTCTATAGAGATAAGGATATCTTGACAATGATTCCTTAAAAAACTGTGCATTAACAAATTTGACAATAAAAAAATTTATACATGGATATTCTTAATTTTGGCAGGCTTATAGACCTTATAAAATTCCAACACTTTACTTAATACATACCTCAACAATATTGCTAAAGAAGTCAGGATACTCATGGGGCCAATCATATCGAGCAATTGCAATCATCAGAGAAGCTAGTTTGTTCCTGATAAAGTACAGCATCACTTCATGCTTAGCCATTAGTTCATTCCATAGTGTCAACCTTATTTCTGTTCTTTCATTCTCCGCCAGACTGATCCATAGTTTGTTTATTATATTCTGAAACCAATATTATCAATAACTTTAAGATACAGAAAAATACACATTGTTCATTGACTATGTAAATGCAAACAACAAAAAAAGAAATTAATAATCAACTATAGGCAATAAAAATTCATTTACTTTTGGCAAACGTAAAAAATATGAATAGAATAAAATAGACTAATGACCTAGATAATGGGCTGTTTACAATTTCTTACCTCCAAAGTAGTTAAAATAAACATTTGCACATATTGGTTCTGAGACTTCTGGAGGAATAACAAGCAATGTTTCCAAGAACCCCTTCCATTGGAAAAATTTTCAAGCATGCTCTCTATCTCTCTTTTCCGAAAATTATTTGTAGATGGTGCGAAAAATTCACACATCAACATCTCTAATGAGGCTAATGCCTCATCGACCCCAAAATTATCCTGCAATTATTATATTTATGAATTAGGAACTACGTATTTTTCAATTACAATAGTAGTTAAACTATAAATTATTTCTCATAAACTACATTCTTACCATGATAGTATGTATCTGCTCAAATTATAAATTACATAGTTATACAGACAGACTTTAATCTATGCTGTAGAAAGTAACTGTTACAATTACTATTTCCTTTTGGCTTATATGTCTCAAATTAATAAATGCGATTGAAAAATCAAATGCAAACCGAAGTAACCTGACAGAATTTCAACTTTTTTTTTTTATTTTAACATATGAGACAAATATGTCAGATTCACGTCAGATTGCTTCAACTGTGTTGCCAAATATTTTTTTTCTATAAAAGTCGCATTGAGGAAAAACCTTCTTTCCATGTAAAATAATCTTAATTGTTTACCTTACTTGGAATTTTTTTTTCTATAATGAATATCACCGAAAGAATTTTATAGCATTTCCAATAAGTATAATTTAATAATTAATTGAATAGATTCATTTTACTTTCCATCAAGAGTTAACACAGCAACATTGGTAATAGAAAAACGAAAAATGTCATTAAGTTGTTATCTGTCATATAAAGTTAGGCCTAATATTTATCCTTACCTTTCGTTATTAATGAATTAGTAAGACAAGACGCCTGATAATTTAATATTAAAAACAATGGAGTCAGAGCCTACACAGTCGTCTGAGTTGCAAATTATCAAAACTGAAGATACAACAAAAACATGCATCGAACAAGAACCACCACAATCGACGATTCCTCCTTCAAACACTGAAAACGATCCCGAGCCTGGATCAAATGCAGCTATTGTAAAAGATCCACAAAAACCATCTCCGAAGAAGCCAAAAAAACGTAAACCTAAGGTTCCACGCGATGTTACAGCTCCAAGGCAACCACTCACTGGTAAGAAAATGGATTTAATATTTCATAAATCTTAATTATTTATTTTTATCATAATTTTAGTCAAGTAGTAGTTTTATATCTATACGTAAACTGCTAAAAAGGGCAAAGTATTATGTTACAGGCTATGTTAGGTTTCTAAATGAGCGCAGGGACCAACTGAGAGCTGAACAACCAGAACTAGGTTTTGCAGAGCTAACGCGCCAGTTAGCCAGTGAATGGAGTAAATTGCCCACTGAAGAGAAACAGCATTATCTCGATGCTGCAGATCAAGACAAAGAACGGTTAGATTAAAAATAAAAGGTTTTCTAATGCACGTAATCTAGAAAAAAAATTATAATATTTCCTCCATTTTCAGATACATTAAGGAATGGGCTGAATATAAAAAAACAGACTCATATAAAGAATTCCATAAACAACAAATGGAGCAAAAAGATCCTGTGATTGCTACAAAAAAAATTAAACATAATCTGCCTAGTGAAACAAATCAACAGAACATACCTCCTGGTAATGTATAATAAAAAAAAATTATATATAATTAAGTAAAAGAGTAATCTCAATTTTGAAATAATTTTGTAGTTGCACCTCAACCTACTGCTGAACAAGTTGTACTAACACAAAATGTTCCTGTTGTTGCAAGACAGCCAACACCACCAAGGCCTAAGCCATGCATTACTCCAGCAATGGTAAGTTTGAGCTTACATTTTAGAGTAAAAACATAACTTTGTGATTGTAAGTTTCTGGTTTGACTAACTTTTACTTGTTATTTTAGATATAAATTTATTAACAAGTCATTTATGTCAAGGTTCTTATACATTGTTATTCTTTTAAAGGTTGATGATTTGCATGGTGGTGACACAGATATACCTATTTTCACCGATCAATTCCTTCAACACAATAAACTGAGGGAATCAGAACTAAGGCAGCTCAGAAAAGCAAACTCTGATTATGAACAACAGGTGAGAATTGTTATTTGTAGCTAAGTTATTATTATGATTGAGGTTCAAAGTTCTTATAACTTGCCCTATCTGCCACTTCAGAAAACTTTAGCTTTGAAATTTTGGATATATGTAGAACACAATACATTCCGCACAGACAAAGTCGCGAACGACAACTAAAACTTTTTATATTAGCAACAATAAGTCCATTAGTTACGTATTTTATTATTGTATCTCAGAATGCAATACTTCAAAGACATGCAGAGGAAGTAAGTGCAGCGACAACGCGACTGCGCGCCGAGACAACTGCAGCAGCGGAGCGCACGGCTGCACTTGTCGCACATCGGCGGGCGCTTGTCGCAGCCCTAGTACACGCCCTACAGTCACTTGCGTTACCACTAACAAGTACTAAAACTTTCATAACTAATCAAAGTTTATTGTGAAAGTAGAGTAAAAGCCCCAACAATATGTAGACCTAGGTATCAACTTTTTAGAGAAAGAAACTAAAGCCAGGTTTTTTCCATATTTTATTCTGGGTTTTGACTGCCATCACACTTGTACTGACACATAAAATATTTTGCTATCTGTTTCTACGAATTCATTTGTCTATGGGCAATGAGGGATGTCAAAACAATGTCCCTGCTGTGGAAACCCACAGTTATAATGCATGTTTAGATTGTTTTAATGCATAGTTTAAGTCTTAAAGTTGCCTTCTCGATTGTGATTTTGTTTCTATTATTAACTTTTTTCATAAATTGCATATATCGCAGGTGGAGCAAGTGGTGCAACTGAAGCAAATATTGAAGAATACATGGATAAATTGTATGCATTGGTGACAGAAAACAAAAATAACCCAATTGTTAAACAAGCTCGTGATATTTTAACCAGAGTGGATCTGCCGATTTCATAATTGTATTAACTTATTTTAAATAAACTTGCTTTCATCAATTTTGGTTTTTTATTGCATCTATAACTAACTTTTCTTAGTTTAGTTTTTATGTTTTTTTATATAATATCCATCTGGGATAGTTAAAAAAAGGAACAGAATCACTTACAACATTACATTTATTTACACAAATATACTTGAAAATAAACCAAGGATTTTCTAGTTAAAAAACTCAAGTAAATCTATAAAATAATTTAGTATGAGTTCTAGATCAGTATTATTCAATTTCTGTTTAAGTAGTTTTTCAGTGGCCAATCCATGAAAAAAAATCAGACATCAAATAATATTAATTGGCTACAGTTATTACCTTGCTAGTATTTGATATCTTAAAAATCTGGTATTTCTTTGTTTCCTATTAACTACTGTATCTTTAAAATACACAATAGCTAATTCAAAAGAATATACTAGTGTATAATGGTACATAATATTAACATTAATCTTAATTTCAATAATAATCCTTAAGCTATATAATTATAACAGACACATCTTTGTATACTAGAGTCGGCATATACTTCCCAAACTCAAAATAAAATCATATTAAATGTATCAATGTAAAATCATATTAAATATGTCAATGTATGAAAGAAAAATAATCATAATTATCCCATAAAAAAAATCATAGTTGAGTGTAAAAAAATATACATTATTCACCATGATTCTGCACTGCTGTAACTTTTACAAAAAAAATGTTTACTCCATATGAACTAAGAAACTCATGCATACATTACACATATAGTGTTGTTGAGATACAGTCTAATACTTTCTCTTGCCGAAACCCCAGTACTAAAAACATATTGTCATCTCTCTTATTCTCTTTTATGAAATAGAGATAACAATAATTTTTCATACAAGTGTTTAGGTAGTGGAAACTCACAGTAGAGGATCAAATTTCAATCAGATTCATAATCATATTTACATTTAATTGATTCAACTTCTTCAGTATTGCTATTTGCATTTGGATCATACTTATGTAATTTGATCCTCCATAATTTAATTTGTGCATCCCATGACCTACGACTGTATTTTGTATATTTATCAGGCGTTTTTGGATCCTCTTTTCCACGTGTTTCTCTGAAATTTAAGAAATTAGATTAAGGGATCACTTTAATTAATGCAAACATAATGTATGATACATGTTTATAATATTAATACTTACATGGGAACTTCTTTAATGTAATTATGATATCCAACAGTATTCTTTCCATAGTCAATTTGTTTTTGACGTCTCTGCAATACAGTTGGATCGGTTTCTACTTCAGTCGTTTTTCCAGTTTTGCTGTTATAATACATATGGTTAGTGACTTTCGGCATTAGTTTATTTACTTTACTGAATATACTTAGTACAGCAATGTACATAGGTTTAAAAATTTGTAGAAATAATAGTTGATACAAACCTAGGTTTGTTGTCTTCGCTTTTGCTGTTTGGCTTAGACCGTTTTTTAACAGTTAAATGTTCTGCACTATCCTCAGACATTTTACCTTTCGTTGCTTTCCGAACTGTAAATGATAAGAATTTAGCGATTTCTCATCAGCCTAGAAAATTAAACATAGCCATACAATAAAAATTAAACTTACCAAACGAATTAGGTTCAAAATTATCTTGCCTTACATTCCCAGAGCTCATTGTGATTACAATTGAAATTAATTTTGTATCAATACATTTTAAGGATAGAATATTTCTGTGATTTTTTTAAAGAACACATTAGCAAGCTTAGTTACATATGTACATTAAACTGTGTAAAATAATATTTCAGGAACGTTATTTACGGGAAAACACGTTCCGCATTCCATAAACAACGCGCGAAATTTTGGTATTTTGACAGCACGTTACCCTATCAAAGAGCATATAAAACAGAGGAGACAATAACAAGTCAAATTAAAAAAATGAGAAGTAAATGCGATTGTCCATAATAAATAAGGTGTTAAAACTGTCTAATATATTTTAATGAAATGAAACATGCAGCCCAAAGGAGTCAGAGACGACTGATTTCCATTTAGATACATATACCTTCTTGTTTAATATTCTTGCATTCATATTAAGTGAATTATTCTACGTTTATAATATAGATTAGGGTGTAAGAAAAAATACAGTTTTTACTTCCAATTGTTTTTAATATATTGCAATATTTGATGAACCCCTTCTTTTCCAGCACTGCCTTCAAGATATTCCATTTCAAATACAACTGTTTTTGCCTTATTACTTACTTTAAAAATTCCCTGCAGTATTGGTTTTTCAGTGTCTTTATTAGTTACAGTGTCTGTCTGATCAATTAATGCTGTGCTACAAGCTGTTGCTAAATCCATGGTTTCATTAAGTACATTTGATTTTTCATCAATGCTTGAATCTGGAGTACTTTTTTCACATTTTTCTTGATTTTCTAATTTTTGTTTTTTAGATACAGTTTCTTCTATTTTCTTCAAAAGTCTTCTCTTACGTCTTTGGTTTGTCCATGTATTTGTTAATGCATTGAAGTTCAGTACTGTTTCGTTTCGTCTTTTTGTAATAATTTTGTATTGGATATTAAGGCTATCAAACAACTGTTGAACTTTTTCAGTTGTATGTTCTACATCATATGGTAGATTTGGTATTTCAGGCAGAACAAATGTTATTGGAATACTTTTTTTCCTAGCCTTATCTCTTGGTGGTACTGAAATTGGAAAGCACATTCCTTGTTACACAATTGACAACAAATTTTCAAATGAACAGTTCTTAGATGTCATAAAGATCAGCATTAAAAACACACCAACAACAGTTAAGGAATGAACTTTTTTTATTTTGAGAAGTTAGTATTTTATTTGGTTAAAACAGGTTTTATTTGTTTCTTTGCATCAATATTCTAATTTTAATTTTTTTTTAATATTCTTACCTAAATTGTACAGATCATAGTCTTGATAGGTCCAAGCTATGGCCCATCGAGTAACACGGCCTTGGCAAAATTCTGTAGTAGTATGGTTAATTCCTTCAGCTTTAAGATCCAGCAAAATTTCTTTCATGTTGTATTTGTGTCCAATCATTGTTGTAAATATACTATAAAAACAAAAAAATGGAATACTTTTTTTAGTCTATCCAAATGAACAAAAAATCCACAGAAAAGTAACACTGGGTGAAAAATTTATGAAGAAAAATACAATGTCATTCTTACTTACAGGATATGATTTTTAAATTTGGCACTTTCTTTGATCAACTTTCTACAGAACTCCAACTCTCCACCTTCAGTAATCAGTTCTTGGGGTGATCCCGTAAATGCATTTTTAGGAGGTGGTCTAAGGAAAAACACATTTTGTTGTAGGTTTTATTTTTTTTAATAAATTTCAGAGTATCCTATCATAGAAAAAGAGATTATTATATTTTATCTATTACAAATAAAGCATACTCTTACAGTTTAGCATGATCAACAAATTTATGGGGATTAAATTTTACAATAAAAAAAGCAAACTAATCATAGACAGAAATATCTAGCAACGCTGGATATGTTGCGTTTATTAAATATATTTGTAGTTGTGGGATATATTTTAAATTTAATGGGGATTACTAAATACTCTTAGATTCTTACCTTGCAGAGCTTCGTGATTCCAGTACCTCTTGTACATTGCTATAGAATGGAGGATTGCACATACAAAAGTCAAATCTCAAATCATTGTCCTCCTCAAACAAATGTTCAATCAATGAAGCAGTTATATTCTTCTTTACTGTAATTATTTTTAATTCTTCATTTTAATCCATTTTGAACTGAAATAATCTTATTTTTTTTTTCAATTTATCAAAAAATTCTATCTTATTAATAATATAAGTGCAATGAGATGGATGTTTCATAGATGGAATGTCTGCATGAATCATGTTGAAATTCGGCCTAGATGTAGAACATCAACAAGAAGTTTGTTTTTAATTCTGCATAGACAGAATCACCGCACCAGCTAGTTAAAATTGATATTAAAATTATTTTTATTGTTTTACTTACATTTAATTAGATGTTGTAAATTATTTCTTTCTATGTTGTCCAAGGCCATTTTCAAACTATCTTCATCCTTTTCTGTTCCAACCATATGCCATTTATTTTTATTAGCTGCTAATAATGGGTATATAGCACAAGCTCCTGTACCTGATACAATAATAAAAACACACAATTCTCCAGAAAGTCAGTAAATAGTATGTCTACTACTTAAATAGTAAATAAATAATTATAAGTACTGAAAACACTTATAATATTAAAAAGAAACAATATGTGTTATTCAACATACCTATATCTAAACCAGTAATATGTTCCTTGTGAATCGAAATCATTAAATCTTCAATCCATAAAATATAATTGAGGCGCAATGGAAGAGTCGGCACCAATCTATCTTCCGGTATCACAACATCCAAATCAAAGTCAGATTTTAATAAACATTTTGTCAAAATCCTCAGAGCTCTTGTATCCTTAAAATCAATGCTAACTTTTCCTGTAACATCCTGAAGACACGATATATGATATAATTATAAATATTAAAAGTTACCTATAATATTAAATTCGTACAACAAAAACGTTTTAGCACCATTTTAGCAACTGTAGAGAAATCTTCAAACTCTTTGTATAATTTCACAAAATCAGGGGGTGTTCGGTATATGTTTCTCGGGTGCATGAATTTATTTAATGCCATTTTTATCACTTTGTAGGTATTCGTACATGTATGTATGTAATTGATATTATTTTATTCCAATTAATTTCTTCACCGCCTTAGCTTTTATCATTAATTATAGCACGAATGATTGACGGTTTACATTGACATTTCGCACTGTATCGGTATGTCTGTCTGTTTTACATTGACAGATACAGAAAAAAAGAAAGTAAGCCGGCCAGGCAAAGAGTGGGGTAGGTTGGCTTTGTAGGACAAAACGGGTGAAATCGAATAACTGCCTAGTTGAGTGAGATTTTACTTTACCATAACTCAGGTACATCTACGGAGTTACATCTACTTTGAAAATCTTACGAAAATATTTTTATTCTTCTTTGAGTTTATTCCCCTTTATACTCTTTGGCTTGCTCCTCAATCTCTTTGCTTCTATTCCGCTTCCGTTTAGCATCCATTTTGTCGTGCTTAAAAGACAAACAAGTTGGTTACTCTTTTGTTTTAATAATTTTAATAATACTCCATAAAGAGTACGTTTGTAGGTACAATTGTCCATAAAATATAGTTTTTTTTTCAAAATGGTTGATAGAATTGATATGGCTTTGGACGATATAATTAAAGCAAATAAAGGCAGAGGTGGTGGTGGAGCAGGCCGAAAATTTGAAGTAAAAAAACCAGGTCGTGGTGCAGGAGGTAGCTTTCGAAGTAATCGCGCCGGAGGTGTATTACGAGGCAGAAATCGTGGAGGAGTAACCAAGTCAACTAATTACACAAGGGTAAATGAAAATACTTGATGATCTTGAATTACAAATGGCGGACAAATGTGGAAAATGGCGCGTCGAATGCATGGCGTATTTATCATCTAGCAACGTTAAGCTGGAATCTTGCAGCGACTGCATATAATTATACCCTCCTTTATGTCGTTTAAACTAATTAGAATTTGTTGTTAAACTAGTTCACCAAATATAAGACTTTCCGCTGTAATATTTTTACTGGATGTGTGTACAGTATTCTAATTTTATTAGTGTACGTTATACATGTAATAGATCCTTGAACTATCTTGGATCTGCTGTAAAGTCCACCGCACAGTAATATTGGACCCTGTTGTGTAATTTAAATGAATCTTTGGAGGTGCCAAACGTCTTCATCTGAAAGCAATATGAAATCCTTCTGAACCATACCGTTAAGAAAATGGGACTTGTCAACATCTACTTTTGTTTGGAGCACTTTGCTTCAAATTGCAGTGTCGACTTTTGTTTGGCGCACTTTGCTTCAAATTGCAGTCACCATGGACAATATACACGGGTGTGATCGTGTAGCTTCACGTGTGGGACATTATGTGTTCAAAAATTGCAGTACTAGTGTTGTGTGAAAGTGATAGTCTTTACAACTAAACCAACAATGCATTGTTTGTACCACATATGTCTAAAATTTATTCATGTCATGCTGTATTTATGTAACTTTATTGATTAGGACATGTACAACTAATGTTTGCCATGTATTTTGAGTGTATGTACTCAGAGGCATCAAGTGGCCAGTTGGCATGATCTATGAAGGAAAAACTATTTCAGGGTGATGTAAACAGCACTTGGAAACATGATATGTTCAATGACTTCAATGAAAGGAAGCTACAGAGGAGTGCACCTCTGACCACTGGCCCCACTAAACTATTAGTTTCAAATTTGGATTTTGGGGTCTCAGACTCTGATATTCAAGAACTATTCTCAGAATTTGGCATTCTCAAAAGTGCTGCTGTACACTATGACAGATCTGGTAGATCATTAGGTAAGCATTAATTTTAAAGTTTTTAGAGCATATGTATTTAACTGATTTTCTTACTTTCATTATTTATGTAGAAAAATGTTTAGGTAGATTTAATTACTCTTCCCATTTTTTTTTAATGTGCAAAATGTAAATATATTTTGTTTTAGGTACTGCTGATGTGGTGTTTGAACGGAGAGCTGATGCTTTAAAGGCCATGAAACAATACAATGGGGTTCCACTGGATGGTCGGGCTATGAACATACAGTTGGCCACATCAGAAATTACAACATTTAGGACTGAAGAAAGAAATCGACCTGTAGGTGGTGGTGGAGGAGGTGCACCTAGACGCAACATAAATAGGGGTTTGTATTTATTTGTTAACTTTCTCAAAAAGTAGTCATAATAATCAAAACTTTTAAATGTGATCAATTCACCCAACCATTTTAACTAGCAACTTTACATACTTTGTGGAGAAAGGCATAATGATTTTTTATTAAACATTGTTCTACTTCACTCATTTTAGGAGGTGGTGCCAACCGCAGTCCAGGAAGCCAACGAGGTGGCGCCAGACGCGGAGGTCGTGGTGGGGGGGCAGGGGGTGGAGCCCCACGAGGCAAGAAACCTGTACCGACTGTTGAACAACTTGATGCTGAATTAGATGCCTATGTCAAAGAAATCAAGTGACATTGGCTTTAAGAATAAATAGAATATTTTGTGAAAAAATATAATTGATTAGTTCTTACAAATAAGTGACGAAGATTTAATTTTTTTATTCAAAACTTGTCTGACACTCTATGCAATGCAGGAACTGGTAAATGAAAATAAAATGTTGACATACAGAATATTTCTTTTATTAACATGTCACCACATCCTCTGAGACCAAAGCAAGTGACTCATCTGATACAAATACAGTGAATAGGTTTTGCAGATTACTATAGCCAAAGAACATCTGGATGGTTACCATTTCTTTACAAGTTTCTTCTATAAGTTTAAATAGATAGTTGCAAACAATGACTTGCACTACCAATAATTACATTTATCTTTAATTTGTGCTTATTAAAAAGTTTTTATTTATTTATATAACTTATCTAAAATTAGTGTTTAAAAAAATATTTATATAAAATAAAGAATTGACCCAATTTCAAAAAATTTCAATAACGTTAAAACAAGGCCACTTTGTAACTTGAAATATTTTCTATTCAAATAGATTCTTTACCCAATGTATACAGGGCCGGTTAAACATTTTCATTGGCATGGCAACACTGGTCACTGGTTCAACCATTGTCGATTGTCAACCTAACACGCCAAATAATAATGTTTGAGAAGTTGCAATTTTAATTTAAGTTGTAAATTAATCTTATAACTCTGAATTGAAATACAGAAGAGTACTGAAAGCTAAACTTTCTAAAGAAACTTAACTGCTCGTATATAAAGAAAGACATTGAAGCAAGCCGGCAATCCGAACCATGAATTCAGGTTTGGAACTAAACATTTACACGGGCTTAGAATATTAGCTTATATGTATATAAAATTCTCGTGTCTCAATGTTAGTTACTATACTTTAAAGATAATATCAAACTTTGAAAAGATAATATGTCCGCTGAAGTTAAGGAATCAATATGAGGTTGGATCGAAATGAAACATGAAGTGATTGTTAGGATGCAAATGTTAATAAAGTGATTATAAATAAGACTAAATTTACTTAAGTATGTATGCCATTGAAATATATTTGGAATCATTTATCTGTAATCCAAATTAAAAGTGACAACATTAGTTGTGTACGAAAATTTTTATTCACAAGCAATACAGTGAACACACGGTTATGCGGTGTAATCTGACACGTCCATTTTAGTTTTTCATAAATTTATTTATTCATAACTAGATGTGCCTGAAACTTTGTCAGCGTGAAATACTGTCTTTAGGTGCCATTTTCAATGACTAATGCTAAATATTTTACTTAAAATAATAAAATATTACAACAAAATGTATTGAACCAACAAAATTTCTTATAACTTGCAAGACCTTACAAACCTTCATCTCCTTTTTTTTTATATCAAAAGGTGGCAAACGAGCGAGCAGCCACCTCAAATTGCTGAAATAGCGAAGTGACTGCTGCCCATAGACATACGCAATTGCATATGCGCTGCCAGGATGCACAGAAAGAAAATATCTTCCCCTTCCATGCATCCTCTCATCCGTAAAGTCCACTTCCACTTCCCATCGTTTCCTTATAAAGAAAAGGATGGGAAGGGAAAGAGGACTAAATTAGGCCTCCGGGACGCACACTCATCAGACGAAACGCGGAATTGCTTCCACTTCACGCCTGTCTTCTGTGTGGTCGTGGTATTTCACCGGGCGAGCCAGGCCAATTCGTGCTAAGATGTTAAAGCGGGCTCTACCACTGTTACTCCTATTGCTTTTTTGCACCCTTAAGGGTATATTTTTTACAAACATTGAAAGTCATAATAATTTGTATCAAATTATATTATTATATATTATAATTTATATTAAAAAAATTGTTTGAAGCTTCTTACTGTAAATATGAGAATTCTTTTAATCCCATACAACACTTTTTTCATGTTATAAAGTAGCCTATTTCCTTTCTCAGGCAAAATCGTCCAGACGATACAAATTCGACAATACTATTTAATCTATAAATTCGACAGGTCAACAATGCCCTGCAAAGGTTTGGCAGATTACCACTGGTCTACTGTATTCCATTTAACTATGACAACTTCTTACAGACCCTACTTCAGATGATGATTCCAGCAGTGATGTCAGTTCAGTGCCTGCAAAACGTGCAAGAACTGATACTTTTGGAGCATCATCCACCACTTCGCATGGTTCAGGTTAGATTCCACTGAGTTTCAGAATGCTTCACCATTTGATAGGTATAAAATAAAACATGGAATTAAAAGAAACTTCCAATTTATTTAATATCTTTTTTTAGTTCTACCAGATTCCGATGATGATGATGAAACTCCAGATGCATATGATCACTCACAAGCCACCGGAAAGAAACTTATGAAAAAGAATTATACAGAGCAGAGTCCAGAAGGCAATTTAAGATTAAGTAGAAGCAGCTTGAGTGAAAATTGTTCATCTCCTAATGAACAATATGATGACTTCAGACCTGGTTTTGACAGTGTTGATACTGACAATGAGAATGTTGATGGAAGGCCGAGTTTTGCAAGTGCCAATGATAATACTTTTTATAACAAAAATTCTGATCATTCAGAAATTATTGATAGTGGAAAATATTCAGAGAAATCAAAACGCATGATGAGCAATATGGGTTTTAAACCTGGTAAAGGTCTTGGTAAATTTGAACATGGTAGGGTGGAGCCCATAGAGGCATCAACACAAAAGGGTAAAAGAGGTCTGGGGTTTCAAGCTTCTGTTGTTGGAGAGGCACCAAAAGATTTTCAATGGTCACCAGACACTGCTCGTTCTCCATCAGCTGTGGAAGAAGTAGTAAGTCTCATTTGCAACTTACCTAAAA